TGTCCTTCACATTAACATCCTTTTAATCTATGGGTGCTAGAAAAGCATAACATGGAATCATATCGACCTAATTTTTATTTATTTTTTCTTCCTTTCTAGACATTTTCCTGTCCTATTATATTTGTTTTTCAAGTAATATTCTCTTATCTCATAGCCTGAAACTTTTAGTGTGGCCAACTAATTGCTTGATCAAACTTGCTGCTTAAATGGGTGCCATTTGATTTACGTTGACAATCATTCACAGTGGTGTTAGCGGGCACTGTGAATCCTCTTGTGGGTTCACATAAGCACAAGAGGATTCACAGTGCCCTACAATATATAATGATCTGCGAAGCCTTACATAATTCAAGGGCAGCACCAATATCCTTCGTCCCCATGGGAATCAAAGTCATACTCTTCTTTGGTAAACTGGGTTAATGGATCTACACCACATGTCAAATGGATCAAACTTTTATTGATCCTAAAAGGGAAAGTACACGTCAAAGGATAAATACCCGAAGAGATATCGTATCCATGCAGGCGCAATAACCGAAATGCCATTGCACAAGTGGCAATGTCTATGGATATCTCTTCTTCCCCCCGGAGCCAGCATTGTTTATATTTTAGCAATATCACGTCTTCCAGGTATGATCACAAAAGTAATTTGGTAAAATTGGAGGAAAATTATAAATATCATTATATATTAGAGGAAAAGTACAAATATGGAAAGAGAATAAAAATCAAATCAGAATAAAAATCAAATCTCTAAACATTAGCCTATAATGAAGATCCAATAAATCTAGAACAATTATCAAATCAACTTATAGATATAATTTCCAACACTCCCCTTCAAATGATAGGAAAGATATCAACCAAGCTCCGCTTAACTATATCAATCAAGACAATCAAGACGTGAAACAATCGTATTATTTTCACAATAAGACTGCTATACCACCGAACACACCGATAGCCCAAATATGGCAATAAATACTGTTGGAGATATGGAAACGGCGAACAACATGCTACCGAACACACCGACAATCTAACAAAGCAAAGAATGATGCTACTGAATACACCGGTAGCCTAACAAGGTAAAGAATTATGCTATTGAACACATCGACAGCCTAAACAAGGCATAAACAGCACCGATAGACCCTTAGCACATGTCAAATGCTAAGGGGATACCCCTAAAAGGAGTCTTAACCTGGGAGGAGAGCCTCCCTACACCAGAGGGATCCATTTGAGAGATGAAAAAGATCTGAAACAAAGCTAAAAATATCTGAACAATGTTAGGAAAAAGGCCATGCAATATTAGCTTGGGCCAAAACAAAGAGCTCCAACAAAATCAAACTACGAAAGAGAAATTTGAAAAATGATGCGTTGAGATGGCGTGGTGGCTAAACCTTGATGCCGCCATCTCTGGCAGTGGCCCTGATACCAAAAAGTAATTTGATAAAATTGGCGTGCTCAATTTGAGAGCCTGACTATCATTATATGCTAGAGGAAAATTACAAATATGGAAATAAAATAAAAATCAAATCCTCAAACATTAGCCTTTAATGAAGATCCAATAAATCTGCCTATAATTTTCAACAATCACGAAAACCTTGAACTTATATAAGAGGTTGGTATAAGAAATCAAAGCTAAAGTGGAGAGTGCCCGTATGACTATAAGCTCCCTTTGAATTGTTGTGCCGGACTAGGAGAGAATACAGTAACACAATCATGACATCGTTTTAAAGTAGTTGTCATTAGCTTTCCTTTAAATTAGCATATTTTGAATATAAAAAAATATTACACAAATTATATTACCACGTAGTGAGTATTAATATGAACCCACTAAAAAAAACTAAAAATATCATAAAATAAAATTATACATAACGGTGAAAAAATTGTTGGAACCAATATATTAAAACGGTGAGTATTCAGGCTTAGAGGTGCGTAATCGTTTCTTGAAGATAGTTAAAGCCGCTCCCACATCCAACGTAAGCCAAATGGTAACACTATTTTCGAGATTCAACTAAGCTCGGATATCAAATCCGTGTGTTCATGAAGATTGCATTTCTTCTTCATGAACTTGTGTATTTATCTTCATTCGATCAACTAGAAGTATGAAACTCACACACTCAAAGTCAATAGTTTGAAAACACTTTTTCAAATTTCCTTTTCTCTCTTACTTGTATCGAGAGTGTATATTTTGTAGGATTCGTAAACATACTGTATATTTATACTAGTAGAAGTGGGAATGTAATTAACTTGGTATTAATGAACATATATTCATTAGGTTCATAAATAACATATTAACTAAAATAGATTAAATGTATTAGGTAAAAAACTTTTAAGTTTAACGTTTGTAAAATACTTAAAGTCTTCATAAATATAGATTAATAAAATCAAATAAAATTAAAAGGAAGTGAATATAAAAGTTTGGTTGATTAGTGTGATTTATTGTAAATGAAATTTTGATACAAAATTTTAAAGATATAATACTTTTATAATTTTCTTTCAAACAGCTAAATGCATGTTTTCATATTTGCACGCTATCATAATAAAAAGGCGACAACATCATATTATCCTAATGATAGCATTACTCGGGAGCACAGTGCATTGCAATGATCTTTGAGCTTTTAGGGTTATTTGGGGCGTTAATATGTTGGTGGGTAGTGTGTCAGTGTTTTTGCGATTGCAACTACAATTTCATGTCCAAAGATTCTCCAGCTCTTCCGGTCTTGCAAAATTGTAAATCATAGCAACTGGTTTAGTGACCTAGTGATAAGATCACAAGACACACAGGTCTTTGAAATACCTTTATTTTATTTATTAAATTTTTTTTTTTTGGGCAACCTTGACTTATAATTTGATTATAGCAACACGTCGACGCACATGAACCTATAATACAGTCATTCCGCGAATGATAAATAATTATTTTTTATTATTAAAGAATAAAATAATATTGATTACAGTTTATGTAAAGAGAGATTGAAAAACCACATCCAATTCCAAAATTACAGGGGACAAATTTCAAATTTTTATTCAGTTTCATATTAATAGGTTTTTTTTTTTTTTTTTTTTTTTTTTTTTTTTTTGTGAATGTTCCAAATTAGTTATCCATTTGAAAAGTAAAAAAAAAAAAATATGTTATCTTTTCATATTTGTCCTTTTAAGTTTTAAAAAATCTCAACACTTAATAACATATTTATTTAAACAGAAAATGACAACGTGGTCCAAATTAGTTATCCCATTTGAAAAGTAAAAAAAAAAAAAAGAAAAAAAAGAAAAAAAAAAAGGCCAAATTTTCATAATTGTCTTTTAAATTTTCAAAAATCTTTAACTTAGTAATATACATATTTAAAATAAAAATGACAATTTGTTAGTTTTAAAAAGAAACAATGCGAGAGTTGGTACATATTAAAGAGTGCATTTGGTAAAAAGTGTTTTATTTTGTAAAGTGCTGAAACATTTAGTTAATAGTGGCTAAAAATTCCCTTTAATCTTCTTCTTCACCCTCTGTCTCTCTAAAATTCCCACTCCTCTCCCTCTCTCTCTAAAACATAATTTTTTTAATATTAAAAGGTATTTTTGTAGTTTTAAAAAATAATTTTTAGTTTTTAATTTAACATTAAATAGTAAGGTTAAATTTGTCATTTCATAGCTTGGTTAACAGGTTGGATACCGATATTAGGGTAATGAGATAACTTTTTAAAAATGTCGGGGTTTTCTGAAACAGGTTGGGATTATATGGACAATGCTTAGTTACTCACTTCTTATGTGTTTCAATAACAAAATAACACATTAGCTTTAGTAAAAAAAGCCCTGCATATTTATTCAATGATTGATCCGAGAAAGTAGAGGAGGGCATAGGTTATGTTATTATTAAAGGTGATGTGTTATTTTATTATTGGAACACATAAGAGGTGAATACGGTGAAGTTACTCACCGGCGAGTAGTTAAGCATTATCCGGATTTTATTATCAAAATTTGAAAATAATGAGGGTTTTCTGATTTTAACCCAAATAAAAGTGCAAAAACAATACGTATACCAAATAAGCCCAATGCAATGTTTAGTAAGAAGGAAGGAAGAGGCGTGGAGAAAAAAATATGAAGGAAGATACCAACTTTCTTTCTTCAGTATAAATGATACAAGGAAAGAAATGAGAATACCAAGGAAAGAAATGAGAATATCTTTACAAATTTTCATCTATTCAAAAATAGGCGGAAGAAAGGAGGAAAGACAATTGGACAATTATAGAATTTTTAAATTAAATATTATCTTAAATTATAAAAGTTTTAAATACCAGTACCATACTCTATAAATTATAATATTATAAATATTACTGGATATAATGGTAAAAATAATTAAAATGTTATCTTTCCTTCTTTCTTAACCAACGTAGTAAATTATGAGATTAATCTCGTATCTTTTATCTAACGGAACAAAAAGAATGAAATATACAATTTCTTCCACAATAAGAGTGTCTCATCAATCCCTTCTTCTCTCATTCCATTCAATTTTTTTCTTTACTATCGAATAGAGAACAAATCTTTATTGGTGGTTTGTGATTTTTTAAAATTTTTCCCCAAGATACTCATGTCAAAATCTTTTAGGCTGTATTTAATTAGATGTAAATTGATAGCGAAAAGTGAAAATAAAAGAAACTAAAGTGAACAAAAGAAAATTTAATTTTCTGTTTATTTAAATACCATTATATTTTTTCAAGAAATTATAAGAAATTACCATTTATGATTTTAATAACAAGAAACTTACTAGAAAATAAATGGTATTATTATAGTTTAATAAAATTTTGTCAAGAAATCAAAATTTTTGTTTGTATTTTTAGAAAAAAAATTATTTAAAAAAATTTGAGAAAATTTAAAATTTTTCTATTTCCTCCGAAAGTCAGTGAATCATAACTGAAACAGTGAGTTCGAGAAACCTCCAAAAACAAACGCAAAGAAATCATAGAAAACCAGAGATGAAGAAGAAGCCGTTCAGACCGCAAATCTCGTACCTGCCTATTTATACATTCCATATATAATTATGTATATCTAACTGTATACTCACTCCTACGCTTCCACACACCGTATCTACCTATATTTTTGCTGCAACTAATAATATCACACAATTCAAATATAAACTTCAAGCATCACCTAAATTAGTAAAACCCCTCTAAATCACTAAATGTAAGAACTTTCTTCTCATTTTGTCCCTTTCAAAAAGAAAAAAAAAAAAAAAAAAAAAAAAAAAATCAAAAACAAAAACAAAAATTTCAAAGTCTATATAATTTCATTGGTAAAAAGCTTGAATACCCATTGTTTGTTTCTGTAATTTTCTCTGTTTCATTCTGTTACAATGGGAAAATCTGGCGCTGAAAAGAATGATGACATTGAAGCTGGCAATAATGACCAACTCTATCCCAATATGATGGAAAAACCAGAGCACCGTTGGGCTTTTATACGGAAAGTTTACGTTATAATCTCAATCCAATTGTTTATCACCGTCGGTGTCGCCTCCGCCGTCGTCTTCACCACCCCCATTTCGGACTTCATCCGCCACACAACTGCAGGCATCACCACCTATGTCGCCATTATTATCCTTACCGTTATACGTAAGAATTTTTTTAATCAAATTTACGACTTTCAATACTATGTCTAATTTCTCTCTCTCTCTCTCTCTATATAACTATAACTGACTTTTTTTTGTGTTCATGAATTTGCTGTAGTTATTGTTCTATTGCATATGTATCAGACTCGTCATCCCTTGAACTTGATCTTGCTCGTGACCTTCACCGTCCTGATGGCGTTCAGTGTGGGATTGTCGTGCTCATTTTCAAAGGGTATGCAACAAATTTCTATTTTTTGTTTTGTTCATACGGACTGATAAATAAATCTGTGTTTGTGTATGAATATATAATCTTTGGGTTTTGTATATATATCTTGGATTATTTTAGTAATGAAGAAACCTGTATGTTTTGCTGTCATCACACCTGAGACAAAGAGAAGTACACAAAGTTATATGCCATATGTTTTCTGTAATTTTTGTTTCAGCTTTAGAAATGAAAAATAAATTAAATTAACTATGCCAAATAGTTGCACTATGATCAATTGTCGAGTACTTGTAAAATATATAAAATGAATGAAAATACAAGCTCCTGATAATCTTTGGTATCATTATTTTCTTGTTTAATTTGTGCATCTCATGGCAATTCGATTATTGATTTCAGCAAGTTGATGATTTTTTTTTTTTTTTTTTGCCAAAAGGGAAAATAATTTTGGAGGCTGCGATTCTAACAGTGGTTGTGGTTGTTAGCTTAACCCTCAACACATTCTGGGCAGTAAAGAGAGGCCAGGACTTCAACTTTCTCGGGCCCTTTTTGTTCGCAGTTGTCCTAGTGATGCTCACATTTTCTCTCATGCAGGTACATATATTGAATTGTTTTCTCTCTGCTTTAGGTAAAATTCGATATTGAATTTGCTTCTTAGTCTCATTCTTCGTTATCCCGCGATGGACAGATCTTTTTCCCTCTGGGGAAATTAGGGTTGATGATATGGGGGTGTGTGGGAGCAATAGTATATTCTGGTTTCATTTTATATGACACAGACAACTTGATCAAACGCTACAACTATGATCAATATGTCCCGGCTGCAGTGGCTCTTTTCTTAGACATCATCAACCTTTTCCTTTCTCTGCTTGCTATTTTTACTGGTGCAGATAAGTAATTTTTTTTTTTTTTTTTGAACAATACTGATAAGTAATTAGAGTGTTTGTTCATAGTGCTTGCCTATCAGCTTTGCATTTTCAGACTAAGTGAATTAGGATGAACTAATTGATTCTGTTTGTGAATATTGGAGATCAATAGAGATTCATCACATGACTAATTTTAGTGCATTGTATGTCTTCATTTTTGTACTTGGATCCTAACCTCGTTGAGTTACAAATCATGAATTTTCTTAGTTTATCAGTATCTTTTTATTTGAGCTGGAAGTGTAATTTCTTCAGGTATATATATAGATAGATAGATATATTTGATAGTACTGGATAGTCAATTAGGCAGGGGAAATCACATTTACATAGAGAACAAAGCATTTCAAAATTCATGGCTTTTTTCTGTTCGAAGTTAGAATTCGAACTTTTTTCTTGAGACTTTTTCTTAGGCCCTGTTTGGCTGGGTGTCCTGAAGCCTCAAAACGGGCTTATAAGATCAGAAAGTCCTTCGCCAACAATATGAGTGTTTGGCAAAGTTTTAGAATTTTAATGGTTTGAAAGGCCTATCGACCAAAGCCAATAAAACATGCTTCTTCTCACAAGTTGGACACTTTTTTAAAGTAATAAATACAAAAGTCTTATATTATCCATTATTTAAACCTAATTCTTCTGGTTTGCAAACTCCTCTCACTGTATCATATCATCTTCTTATGTTCGTTCCCACCCCCCCAAAAAAAAAAAAAAAATCAATCAATGTTGAACAAAGTTTTTGGGCACAATCTGCGTCATCTGCTCCTTCGTAGTTGGGATCTTTGTTGGAAAACAGATTGTTGATTTGTGAGAAATTTATTTTTACCCTTGTTTTAACATATCATCGACTGGCAAAAATAGATTTCTTTAACACTTTTCATCTCTGGGTAATCGGTAATATGTTGACATGAAGGGTCTTCCATTTTGGTTCAAGCATCACCTGGAAAACACATGTTACTCACAATCACGACATTGATCTCTTCCACAAGGTCAAAGAGAAGCAATGCTGAAAGTACCCGGAAGACATTCACCGGCAGGGATGGAGCCAAAATTTTTGTTCGCCGGGGCGGGGGGACATTATACACTAAATACATATAAATTAATATTTATGGAGTATATATTGATAAAGAGAAATAAGTGAATATATATATAGATAGAGATTTATATTTTTGGAATGAGGTAAATTAATAAATTACATATATAGAATATAATGAAAAAATTTAAGAAAAAAAATTTAAGGAAGCATATAAAGTATACAAGGGAAGGAGAAATTTGAGGGGGGCACTTTTACACATTTTTAAAATATATATACCTATTATAGAAAAATATATATATAAAATAAGGATAGGAAGAAATCCAGGAGGGGCACATGCCCCCCCTGGTCCTATACTGGCTCCGTCCCTGTTCATCGGCGACTTGCTGATCCATCGCGTGACCATTGACCACTCAGTGGTGGTTTCTCTATGGCAAAAATGTCAATGTTAAATTATTTGTCATCCACGACAGTGATTTTGGTCTTTGATCTGATCAATTAAATCAACAACTATACACAAAATATAAGAATATATATATATATATATATATATATATATATATATATATAGCAAGAGAGGTGGAGAGTGGGTAGAGAGTAAATGTATATTTGGATGAAATTTATGGTCAAATAAATTTCGTTTAGAGAATGAAAAAAAAGGATGAAAATGAATCTACAAACTTCAATCAAGTTTCACTGCAATGGAATGGAGGTTCTATTCTTTCTTTATATAGTTTTTTTTTTATTTTTTATTTTTATTTTTTATTTACTTAATTCTCATTTAATTGATTTTCTTCGTATTTTCTGTATCTCACTCTTTTATGTTGCAAATAATGATGATAATTTAAAAGTTCCATGGAAATTGGTTATAGAGAAGAGATGGGTTTAGATGGAAATGTGGTACATGCATGAAAATAAGGCATACAAAAGATGGGTAATATTGTCATTAAAAAATACTCTAAAAATTAAAGACACTTGATGAAACATATCCATCAAACATCTTTTTTCTTAAAAAACTCTTCTAGTTCAAAAATTGTTTGTAAGGCATCAAAGTTTAGAACCCTCTTAAATGACCACAAACGTTCCCATCTTTTTGAGAGTACACAAACGTTCCCATTTTTTCGTGTTTGGTAGGTAGGTTTGATAAGGAAGTAGGAGACAGGGCTCAAATCACGGCTTGGGCGACTCGTGCTTAGAAGGTCTCATCTGGAGTTGTGGTGTCTCCCTTGCCAGATTCATTGTTGCTGTTTCACTTTCCATCCTCGGCAGAAGCTTCAAGGGTTCCCAAAGGGGCGCCGTGATTGAGGGACGGCCACTTTAAGGGTGGACAATTGGAATTTCAGAGTTGGGTGTTCGGAGGTGTTAAAAGGAAAAGGGCTGAAGATAGTGACACTTTATAGGCTCTCGCTTCATCTTTGGAGTCATGCCCTGTTCGTGACGGTTGGGGATTTATGCGGTGGTTTTGTTTGGGTGGATGCCGATGAAGTCGTGGATGCTGAACGGGTTCGTATCACAGTGGCGGATGGTAAGGTTTGTCCCTCTTTTGTCTTCATCCACGATGATTGGTTTTGTTTTAAGGTTGCCGTTTGGGATGAGAAGTCGCCGGAACTTGTGCGGACAACGGATAGTCTTGAAGGAGGGGATGGTTCACACTTTCTTACAGAGGCCGAATGGTTAAGGTGGAATGCTATGGGAAAAAAGGGATTGACAGAGATTCAACGATGGATGGAGTGGAGGGACGCCCTTTGGATTTGTAACTCTAATTGTTTTCGACGGATGTTCACTCATAAAAGGAACGAAGGTTTGGCGGGTGGGTCTGATCATCGCCGACTGATGGGCTTACAGGAAACTCAGAGGGAGGGTCGAGCTTTCACCATGGTTGGCCGTTCGGCATTCGTACAGATGTGGAATCTAGGAAGACAGAGAGGTGACTTTCACGCGATGCAAGCACGTGGAAAAATGAGTCTTGCTGGCCATACACGTGGGTGGCGCACAGGGAGTGACCGTTTTAAGTTGCATATAGCTGGTTCTCATGTTGCTTCAAATGTTTCAAAGGTTTGGGCTCCGAAGGCGAGAATGCAAGCTTGTGCTGATGGGCCAAAGGATAAGCCATTGGCAATGTCTTTGGGAATAACTGTTTTACCCCCATGTGGGCTGGCCTAGCCTACGGAATTGATCTGTTGTCCTACTGGACCTGCTGAAGGGTGAAAGCCATGAAGACGGCTCATGATGAAGGTGGGCTTGTTGGTCTGGGTCGCGAGTTGAAGGGCAGGCCGGGGTCACTTAAGGAAGCTAATGGGCCAATGTTGGGCAACCGTTTTGAGCCCATTGCTAATGTCGTGACTAACAATGGTGCTCTTCCAGACGGCGTTTTCTCTGACGGGATTAGAGGAGGAAGACGAGCTAAGGGATGTGTTCAAGGTCACAGTTTGAAGAAAAAGGTGTCTATTCTTTCCTTTGGTAGAAGATGGTCAAGGAAGGAGAAACAGAAGTGGGTTCCGAGAACGACGGTTGACTCTGTTCCGGGTAAGTCAAGTATTTCACATGGATTACAGTCTTTTCAACCTTGCTTTCCCTTTTCTTCTCAGTTACGAAGGTGTGTGGGGTTGAATAAAGGCGTGGGGGAGTCGGGTTCTCCATGGTTATCCCTAGTTTTTGAGGGAGAGCCGGGGGTTGATTGTCATGGGGAAGGTTATGATTTTGGGCTTGGCTCCTCTCGGATGTGTGATTTTAGTAGCGAGGGAGTTACTGTTTGTGTAGGAAGGGATGTGAAAATCAATCTGGATGACATTACAACCAACGTGTTTCCGAAGGAATTGCGTGACCATTTAGCATTGAAAGGCTTACAAAACAGTTTAGGATTTTCTGTGATTGACGAGGAGGCTGGGACGCCTTTGACTTGTGGTTCCCCTTACTTTTCCAATGCTTGGGAGGGAGGTTCAGGTTCCTTCTTAGAAGGGGATTTGGGCTTGGTTCAGTGGGAAGGCAGTGGTGATGTTTTTGATTGTGTTGTACCTTTGGCTGCGATAGGGCCGGAGGGGGAGTGTATGGAAGCAGCAACTGTTGGTGTGGGTAAGGTGAGTTTGGAAGAGGAGTAGTTGAGAGAGAAGGGTGGAGAGGTGGGTTCTCTTTTGGGTGTGTCGTTTGAAGGTAGGTTGGATGAGGCGATGAGGTTGTTTAATGAGGTCATTGACGCTCAGATTTTGGAGAGGGCGGGTAGAAGTGATGGATTGCTGATGGAGGAGGGGGTGAGGGAGGAGAGGAGTCCCTTTGATGTCGTCACTTACGAAAAAAGGAATAGGTGATCTTGGGAGAGGGACGGTGAAAGGAAGAGTGGGCGAGATTTTTCATCTGTCTCCTTATGAAGCTACGCCTTTTTTCATGGAACGTCTGGGGTCTCAATGACCCGCAGAGAAGAAAAGTTGCGAAGTCGGTGATTCGGAAAGAGGGTGGGCATGTTGTGTGTTTACAAGAAACGAAGATTGCATCGATGACGGACTTGATCTGAGAAGTTTGTGGGGGGGGGGGGGGATTTGTGGAGTGGATTGCTTTGGATGCGATTGGTTTTGCAGGTGGCGTTCTTATCATGTGGGATAACCGTTGGATCTCGTTGGGGGACTCTCTGGTGGGGCTCTTCTCGGTCTCTTACGTTCTCTCTCTGATAGAGGATGGTTTTCGTTGGGTCTTCTCAGGAGTTTATGGCCCTACAGAAGACAGTGTGAGACATTTGTTTTGGACGGAGTTGGGAGAGGTTCGTAGTCGATGGGAGTTACCTTGGTGTGTTACAGGGGACTTTAATGTTGTCTGCTCTCCTTTTGAGAGGTCGACAGGGGGAATATGGACATTTGAAATTGAGTCATTCTCAGAGTTCATTGATGAGTGGAGATTGATTGATTTGCCTTTGGTGGGTGGTTCTTTTACGTGGTCTAGTGGTCGTTCTCTTCATACCTTATCTCGTCCTGACAAGTTCCTTGTGTCGAGCGATTGGGAGGAGAAGTTCTCGGATGTGGTTCAGGCTACTTTGGCTCGCCCTGTGATACCTTTCGGATCTGAGACACGGGTTGATCAGGCCCAGGCCCAAACCCGAGGGATATCAAACAATTAATATGTTATAACGAACACAGATTACTAAATGAAATAAGAATTAAAAATTTTAATAGCTGAAAGAAAACTAAAA